GAAATATAAGAAATGTTCCCTTTACTTCCTTCTAGCATTGGTTTGAAATACCTTATTCTCAAGTGGTCTCCCCTGACAAACCCTTCTAAAAATGCATGTTACATCCCTCCTCACTGCCCCCAACACACCACCTATTCCCCTCCAAGCTTCCCTTTTCTGTCTCTTCTCTAAGCACTGTATATTTTATTCATAAATGTTATCTTCTGCTCCCCCCTCAAGATAAAGGGCTTCCTGAGGACAGAGATTTGGGGTTTTTCTTATTCACTGCTCCATCCCCACCTGAACAGTGCTTGAACTATGGTGATCACTCACGTGAAGTACTTGATGGGTGAAAGTTGGCTCTAGGCTATGATGATGTTCTCAGGCCAACTGGGCTGGGATGGTGGGGTGGAGGAGCTTGGTGGTGTCTCTTCAGCCTTTCGTCATCTCTTCCTGATGGCCCTGCTCATCCCTTTTCCAGGTGTTAGTATTTTGTCACTGTGACCATAACAACTGACACAACTTACAGGTTTATTTTGGTCCAAGGTTTCAGTCTATGGTCAACTGGCTCCATTTCTTTGAGCATGAAGAGAGGCAGAACATAATGGCAGGAAGGTGTGGAGGAGGAAAGCTACTCATTTCATGGCAGCTGAGAAGCAGTGTGTGTGTGAGGGGGGTGCTCAGGACAGGATATAGTCCCCAGGGGCACATCCCCAGGGTCCTATTTCCTCCATCCATGTTCCACCTACCTACAGTTTCCACCTACTCCCAGTAGTTCTTTCAAATTATTAATGCATCAAATGGATTAATCCACTGATAAGATTATACTGCTTGAGAGCCAATCACTTCTCCCAAAGCCCCACCCCCTGGATATGGCTGCAGTGGGGATCAAGTCTTCAATATATGAGTTTTGGGGGACATTCCAGATCCAAACCATAACACCAGGTCAACCCAGTCAAGTGTGGTCTTAGTTTTCAGATTTTAAAGGTGTCTTTCCCTGACAACTGAGAGTGATTCCTCCAGACTGTCTGATCTGCAGAGAAAAATCCCTGGTACAACTGAGAAACTAGAATATGGTGAACATGCAGCAGGAGGGAGTTAACTAGTTGAGTACTGACATGACACCCCAAGACGAAAATCCCATACCATGAATCTTTGTTTCATGCATAAAATTATTTGAACTATTGTGTAAAATTACCTTCAGGCAATATATATAAAATGTATACAAAATATAAATGACTTTCATGATTAAACTTGGGCCCCATTCCAAGATATCTCATGTGTATTCAAATATTTCAAAATCTGAAAAAAATTCTGAAATTTCAAATACTTCTGCTTCCAAACATTCTGGATTCTTTTCATCATGGCTTAACCAAATTGCTTGAACCCTCCTGAGCCTCAGTTTTCTCATCTGTACAATTTCTGTACAGATTAGTGATCAAAATTTCTAATTCAGATTAGTGATCACAGTTGTGGACCAATCACATGAGATAGATCCTACAATGAAGACTCAAAACCTCAGGAAAGGAAACAGCTGCCTAGGTCCCCTGGCATGTGGTTCAATGTAATACGCTATATAGATATTTCATTTTAAGAGGCAAATAGGACAAGAACTGGCCAAGTGACAGATTTGATTATTACCCAATGTATGTATCTCACTGAGGCAAGAGAAGAGAAAGGGTTAAAATGGACAGGCAGGAAACGTGGATTCCTTTAAGGTCAGGTTTGTATAGCTGGGCTGAGAAATTACAGACACAAGCCAAGCCTCATCAAGGTCAGGTCGATGGAGAGGTAACTGAGAGTGAGACACCTTCTCCTGGTACACAGGTCCCCACCAAAAATGGGGCTCAGAAACTGGACTAGACCAAAAAGAATGTGAAGAGCTCCGAGGACACTGAGCGGGCGCATTACCCAGGATTGAGTAGGCAGCTGCTGTCTTAACCTTGTAGATCAATATAAACCCTAGACAAGAGCCACTCACACTATCCCTCTCTTGGGACCCCTCCCCTCTGGGAGCTCTGCTTTCTTTTATTTACTCTAATAAAGTCTGTTACTTTGCTCTCAACCTTGTGTTTATGGATTTTATTCTTCGAATTCACGAGACAAAGAACCCCAAACTCCTCGCTATCCCAAAGTATGTAGAGTTTTATGTGTCAATCACAAACAAAAAGAAGTGTGACCCAAGAAAAGGAATATTCTCAGAGCTTTTAATACACACCAATGAACAAGATCCACTTGGAATCCACCAAGTCAGATCTTCTGTGTCCTAGTGGATTCTAATGTGCTGTCATGCCAGGAACTCTTAACTTACAGAGCCAAGTCCCAACTCCTCTTTGGGCACTCAAGCCTTCTGCAGTGGGGCTGCTCTTTTCTCCTCATGCCTTACCACACACACCCTCTCATCACACACTTGACAATCCAGCTACACAAACATGCCAGTATCCCCTGAAGACACACCATCAATTCATGCCAAGGTTTTGAAAACATTCTATTTGGTCTAGGACCCACTATTCAAAGTGCGGTCCATAGACCAGTAGTATCAACCTTACTTGGGAACTCAGAACTACAGATCCCCAGGAAGTCTACCCCAAGAAACACTTGATTCTTTCCTGGCTTGCATCTCTGGATTTGTGCTTTAATCCCTGGCTAGGATAACTCTGTTCTGTTAGGCCTTTCCCAATATCACTCTCTTCACTCCTGTTAAACTGAATCAGAGATTCTCTAAGGAGTACATTACCTTTATTTGGGAACAGAATGGCAATGCAAAGGAAATACACATGCCATTGTAGGCCACGAGACATTTAAAGATATTGTGCAAGAAGTTCTTAAAAGCGAAATGAGGGGGCTGGGGTAGTAGCTCAGCAGTAGAGCACTCGCCTAGCACTTGCGAGGCCCTGGGTTCAATCCTCAGCAACACATAAAGACAAATAAATAAAATAAAAGTATTATGTCCAACTACAACTAAAAAATATTTTTAAAAAAGCAAAATGAGGAGGGATACATAAGATATTTTGAAATAATGCTCTTTGGCCACTAGGATGAAAAGCAAAGGTGGTGACTGTCCAAGGTTAGACAGATAGTTACTAGGTAGTTGTGCTTACAGAAGGTGTGGTGTGTGTGTGTGTGTGTACACACAGTGGCTTTTATGCAAGGCTGTAATAGTCTTTTTGGATAGTTGTTATCAGGACATTGTGCATGACAACCCTTCCTTCATAACCTCCTGGATTTACTTATTTACTGTTTGTTGACACAAGTGACTCCATGTTTTTTATTTTTGTGGTGCTGGGGATTGAACCCAGGGCCTTGTGCATTGGAGGAAAACACCCTACCAACTGAGGTATATCCCCAGCCCCAAATTCTGAGAATTTCCTTATGACCTTCCCCTTCAAAGAATTAATTCCTCCCTTCTTTATAATCCCACTTTTATAGAACCCAGCAACTAAAACCAAAACAATTTAACCTAAACATAGGCTAGGTTATGTTATGTTATTATGGCCAAACAAAAATAGCCTTGCTGCTTGCTCCAAGTAATATATGGTCCTAGAGGAAAACCAACTAAACAAAACAGAGTAATCTCTACACTCATGGTTTATGCATCATCACTGGCTTCAAGACCCTTATTTCACTGTGCCTGTGCAGTCAAAGCTATTAAAGCAAATTCTGCCCAATCCCAATTTCTTCTTGCAAAACTCATCTGAAAATCACCCAGCTCTGGTCATAGAAATATCCTAATTTCTTCTTTTGAGGCAATACTGAGAAATGATGTTCTCCCTAAATATACAGCCTTGTTAATGGGCATATTTGACAGGGGGCAGCTAACACTTTCAGCACAAAATATTGCAATTATTTATGTGTACACCAAATTTCTTCCCATGCTGTGCTATTGACCCATTCTGGGTACACACACACACACACACATTGTGCCCAAAGTTTTAGAGGCCTTGCCTAAACCAAAATAAAAATAATTATAAGGCAGTCCTTGAAAGCAAGTCTGAATAAATAGAGATATCTTTATATCCTACATCACAAAGAAGCAATAAGTGTTGGCAGGAAGAAAAGTCGAATTGCTTTGTAGCTGCTCCACCCTAAGATCAAACCACGAGTGGCTTCTTTTGACATTCTTTCTTCCTCCTTCCAGGCTCAACATTGCCCCAACAACTCTGCTGCCCCAATCCTAAATGCACAGCATAGACTCACACCCAGAACATCAGAACAACAAAATTCAATGAATGAAAACTGGAACTGGAGGCAAGAGAGGAAGAACAGCAAAGAGACATAGGGGCCAGAGAGCTCCAGGGCCCAAGGAAAGACATTTCCAACATCAGGAGAGGAACAGTCCTGTGCTCAAGCACCTCCTGCCCTCACTCACCCTTTCTCCACATCCTACTCACACCAGGAGCTGAGGACAACTCAGCCCTAGAAAAACATTTATCTCTGCAGATGGCTCTGCAGTTTTGAGAATGGAATGTAAAACATGAACTAAAGGTTAAGGACTATTTTGTACATTCTGTTATATATTTAGAGATTTATTATTTGTCCTGGGTTGCTCCATGTCAGTATAAATTGTTGATTTAATAAGCATGGTGTATACATAATACCGGTTTGGATAGATTAGTTTGAGTCTGTTTCCATCCCTTCAGTGTTCATATGGTCTTTCATTCCATAATGGCTTAAGAGTTTTCAAACAGAAAACATGGGTAAAAATTAGATAACAAAATACCCAAGAATGTCTCAAATTAAAAAGCATTATAACCACAAAGTTGTTGCAAATGTGGAACAAGATGGAAAAACGTGCATCTCCTGTAATGGCAGACACTACAAAGTTACATGGCAAAGGACCTAGAAAGGGACAAAGAGCCATGGTTAAATCAATCTGCAATAGTGTGCTATGACCCAGAAATTCCAGGGCTAGTGTAGACCAGATAAAAGCCACCAAAAGATGTCTGTGTGCCACGATCTATGCAGCAACAACAAAAGATCACAAGGAGGGGTGACAGGAGATTAATAAAAACACAGAGACATTTTTAAGTAAAGCTGGGGCCAGGTGGGACACTGTCCTCTGATGGAGGAACAGTGGGCCAGAACTAGCTCCACATGTTTATTACATAGAGTTTCAAGTTCAGGAAGTTTAACTACAGAAGCTCTGCAAATTGTTCAAGACCTGTGAGTTATCAACAGGCTTCTTTGTGCACTAAAAAGTTACAGTATTCAGAACATCTCTGGGTACAGCTATCCTGCTGTACCCAGAAAACCCATTATACTGGAACACCTGCTAACTGTTGGCATCAGAGCTGAGTGTCAAGGCTGTTCATATATTCTCATCTTCTGGCAAGGAATGTTCCCCAGGCTTGGCTTTTGCCAACACAGCAGGATCATCTGGGGCATATTCACTCTCCTCATCTTCCTCTTTATTTTTCAACCAAAACCGATGTATACCTTCTGAATTGGAACTGGGATCCAAGGACTTTGCAGCTGACTGTGAGAAAATAACACAGAATTAAGAGCAAGAAAACAAGTCCTATGAAATACTATGTAGTATGTTCTAGCATATTCCAAAGATTGAAACCATTTAAGTCATCCAAAAGCTTTTCTGCAAAACTAGTAGGAGATAACATGGGAATCTAGCTTTCGTGTATCACTTGAATGTAGTGGTGCAGCTGCAAAAGATCTAAACTAACACTGTCATGATTCCAAATTTCAAACAGATGCACCTTTAACTTTTCCCAATCCCACTGGGAACTACTGCATGGAAAAAGGTGTAACACAAATAAACTGATAAGTGACTTGGCATCTTAATTGTTGCCTGACCTTAAGACTTTGTATCTGATCACCCATGCCCACTACAGTAGCCTCTAAGGCATTCAACTTAGCTTCAAGTTTATTATCAATTGCCTCCTGACCTTGGAGAGCTCAATTGTTGACAAAATGGGCCATCTGGATGCCCCCACCAGGTGACAGAGGCAGTGATTGCAGAAGTAATTATAGTAATTGGGATAATGATACCAAAGATTATAAGTCCTGCTGCACAACATGACTGAGTTAACCAATTAAGAAGTTTTTGTTTGTTTGTTTGTGGTGGTGCTGGGGATTGAACCCCAGGCCTTGTGCATGCAAGGCAAGCACTCTACAGGCTGAGCTATATCCCCATTATGAAATTCTTGAAGAACTTGCAGCCCTGCATCTGGATACCAGTCACCAGCAATGTCAGTGGGAAGCATAAGAAAGGAAGACTGGTATAAAACCAGAATATCTTGATCTTTGTTATGCCTAGTTACACAAATAGTGAGATTATAATTAGTACACTGCACAGAATGTTTCCTGTCTATTTTGGTGATATTAACATTTCCCGTTAATAATACATAGACTGTACACACATGAAAACCATATCATGGGCTAATGGTACAACCACTGGCTAGATGTTAATGATTGACTAGAGATGCTGACAAAAATCCAAAGCAGCCAAAAGATGACATAAGTCTCTCTGTGTGCCTCCTGAACTTGTGGTCTAAATATTACTAACAAGCCCTCCAGGAGGCATGAACTCATGATGAGGATGCGCTGGATCAAGCCTAAGAGACCAGTCCAGGACATATGACTCAGAGTGGGAAATATTATGTCTCACAGGGACTAGGTTAGCACAATCAAGCCATTGGGGGAAAAACCCTAGTTCTAAGGTGGTGGAATTAAGGCAATAAGGAATTGGAGGGTGTTTGGCAAGGTTCTCACAACTGGATTTAGAAAACGCTACTTTAGTGATGGTTTGTATATATTTTCCAAAGGACCAGAAACACTGGCAACAAAGATGTCTTATTTTTCTTGGACACTTGTAAGCACCCAGTTTTCTGGCAAATAGACAGGTAAATAGGGGCCTCAGCACTGTACCCAAGAATAAGTATAATTAAAGTAATGAGAGGGAGTAAGATGGCAGTCAGATTGACCACTCACCATGGCAGAGTGATTTGTGAACACTGGAATAGACCCTCCTACCAAGGAGGTAGGATTAGTAACAGGAGGGTCTGGAAAATATGTCTAGTAAGTCTCTCCTGCCACCATACGTACCTGGCAACTTACAATGGCCAGCATTGTCATAAACATGGTAGCTGGCGTCACAGAGTTTCCTTGACTCTCAATTGTATTCCGAGATTCCCTTATCAGCCCCTCCATCTGAGTCCAAGTTGGGAGATATGGAATTCGCTTCCTTTTCCTATACCTTTTTCTCTTGTGGAAATGGCAGACAGTGATTTGTGCAGCACCACCACTTGTGGATTGACCTGCAATCGTTTCAACTGGGGTTTGAGTCCCACTAATGGATCCATCATGACACACCGCTTTCTCAGGTCCCCAAGTCAGTGTCTCAGCACCTTCTGGAAAGACACAAACATTATCTCTTACCCACCTTATTACTGGATCCAGCACATTCCATTTCCCTGATTGCAAGCCTTCCACCATACTGTTCCTGCTAAACAAACAGGGCCAGAGATTGGATGCCTCTTGGCTGCATGTGGTGCAGCCCTGCTCATTACAATTTTAAAAATTTAAGGTAAAAAGAGCATGATGTAATTGGTTCTATGGGGATGGGTGGTAACTATCTCACCCTTTTTGTTTTTGAAGTTGAATCTTTAGTGTTCTATAGGCAAATTCTACTACTGCTTGTCCTTGGTATTATATAGCATTCCTGATAGGAAGCACAGAAGTGTTGAAAGAACTGGCTTAAGCCAGACCATTATCTGTTTTAAATTCTCCCCGCTCCCAATGTTTAACAATCTTTAATTCAAATGTAAAAGTTCAAAACAAGCCATCTGTAGGGCTTGGGATTTGTTGTTCTTTTAAAAGCAAGAATAGGGGAAATGCAACAAAATGATCTTTCTACTTTTCTCAAAAACTTTCAAGGAAAGGATAGACCATAGGGCCATAACAGATCCATTAACCAAACCCACCTTCTCCCTGACCAACTTTCACACCCATTCCATAATTTAATATATATTCCTAAATGTAGATTTACAGTTCAGCTTTGCTTACATAACCATTTAAAAATACTTAGCACGAGCTTGCTTCCTATAATGTCAAGCAAACTGTGAACTACTTCAATCTGAATTTCTTCTTTTTAAAACAAGAGGGCAGTTACCTGTAGAAAGCAATATTTAGCCCCCATTTACATTTCCCAGAAATGGCATATGCCTGTCATTCAAAGGCCTCAACACTCTCATGCTTCCAAAATGGAATACTTACCCTAACGTGCACAGAAGCATGAATGGCAAACTATTTTTCTATTTATTTGAAGCACAGAAAAAAAAAAAATTGGTATACTTTGGAAATTTGGTGGCACAAGGTACACTGCCATTAACTTGAGGGACATCACATAGTAAAAAATGAGAGAGAGAAAAGAAAAAGGAAGTAAAAAAACTTTTTTCTCCTATTTCAAACACTGCATTACATAATTTTACCTGCCCAAACAGACCATGTACAAATATTAAGCCAATAAACTGTTAACATCCATAAAAAGGGAGCTTTCTTATTAAAATGCAAGAATTTAAAAGTGGTATCTAAACAAAAAAAGACAAAACCAAACTGGAATGTAAGCCTAGATATCACATCTAAAATCGGAATTTTTTGGTTTGGGCCTTCATAGTGTTCTCTCCCTCTACCATATTCTGCTGGAGTCCCAGGGCCCCTTCCTCTAGGACCCTGTCCACGCTCAGGCCCCTCACCTGCCTGCCCAAAGGACTCAGTACACCTGTAGCTTCCCATGGTGGAATCACTCGTGGTTGCTGGTGGAACTCCAGGATTAGCTTCATAACCTAAGCCGCTACCGCGACTGCCACCACCTACAGGTGAACATTTCTGGCCTCCTGAACCATAGTGAGCTCCCATGTTCGTGGCTCCTCCCCGACCTGTTCTCAAGTCTCTTTCACTTGGATCCTCGTAGTCCATCTGGCTATAACTTTCTTCTCCTTGGTGTCTCATTTCTTCCATTTCACATTGGTAGATCATCTCTTCATCTCTTCTATGCTGTTCCTCCTCTTGTCTCCGTTGCTTTTGATCGTGAAGTTCTTCCCCACCTCTTATTTCTCCCGGCTGTGTCATCAGACCTTGGCGCAAAAGATTTGCCTGGTAGGCATCTTCTATTTCTCTTTCCAACTGCCTTTTTGCATTGTCTATGTTTTTTTCAACTTGTTCCCTTTGCTCTTTTTCCATTTCATACAAGAACTTCCACCTCTGAGAATATTCATACTCAAATGTGCCACACTCAGCAAAACGAGGTGGCTTTTTTCTCGCCTTTTGATACTTTGAATTCCTCTCAGCCAATTTTTCAGGATAACCATCTTCATCATTGAATTGTTCAAGAGGTTCCACAATAACTGGACGAGGAGTTGTCGTCAGTAGGAAAACACCTTGAGAGCACCGTTGGTATGCTTTCATTTTGGCTTTGAGAGTTTCAAATTCAACAATGCCTTTCCCTGTAGATCTTCCACGACCATCCACAATTACAACAGCACTTTCAACAGGACCAAACTGGCTAAAAGCTTCTTCCAACAGTTCATTGGTAACATAAGGTGAAAGATTACGAACAGAGAAGGCATTATTACGTCTGGCGAAGCGAATCTGAATCTTACTGCCTCTCACGCACGTATCATCAAGTTCAGCTTTGGCAAGTTGAGCCAAGGCTTTAGTTTCAAGTCTAATAAGTCCATATCCTTTGTATTGATGGACAAAAATGTTTCTTGGTTCTCCGTATTTTGCAAATAGTCTTTTTAATTCATCCTCTGTGACATCATAAGGTAGTTTCCCAACAAACAACTGACAACGCTGTGTGTAAGTTTTCTCTCCAGGCCTCCTCAGGAGAGCCATCTTCTCCTCGCCGTGGCCGCCGGGCGAGGGACCCTGGCGGGGCTCCTGGTGGTAAGGCTCCCCGCCTCCTTCCTGCAGTGGCTGGGAGTGGCCACCAGGAGCGTTCAGGTCCCAGCGGACGCCAGGCTTCAGCTCTCCAGGCTGCTTGCCGCCTATGGGGCTTTTGGAGCCTGGGCCCTGCTTAGGCCCTGGGTCCAGGCTGTGCGCGGGTGGAGGCGGCGCGGGAGTGGTGGGGACGTCGCTAGTCGGCTGAGCGGACGGAGGCGCCCCTGGCGGGGCCGAGGTGACTGCGGGCGGCGGGGTCGGGCGCGGAATGGCGGACGGGTCCGAGCCGGAAGCCGGCGGCGCAGTGCCTACCATGGTAGCGGGGCCGGGCCGGGCCTCTGAGGGACCACCGGCTTGGACGAATCCTGCAGCGGCGGCGGCAGCGGCGGCGGCTGAGGCCGCTGTGGCGGCTGCTGCTGGTGCGAGGGCGGCAGCAGGATCAAGGGCTTAGGGCAGCCTGGGCGGCCCGGCAGAGCTCGGGCTCAGGCTCCTGGGGACGCGGTTCTGATGGAAGCCCATGCTGGCTAGCGGAAAGCGGAAATCGTGGATACCGCCACCGGCACCGCCGCGACTCCGGAACCAATCAGGAGACACGTCTGCGGCCAAGGGGTGGTCCGGGCAGAAGCGAGGAAGACGCTACCGGCGTGTGAAGGCTACCTGGCTTCGCACAAGATGGCGGCTCGGGAGACTGAGACAGGAGGATCGGGAGTTCAAAGCCAGCCTCAGCAGTTTAGCAAGACGCTGAGCAACTTGTGAGACCCTGTCTCTAAATAAAATACAAAATAAGCCTGGGGATATGGCTCAGTGTTCGGATGCCCCTGAGTTCAATCATCCGTAAGCCCCCCCACCACCAAAAAAAAAAAAAAAAAATGGCGGATGACACAGGCCTCGGTTTTGAAGTCCTGGGGTTTCCCTCTGACTCCAAAGCGGCCAGGCAGTGACTAATCACATGGATCGCACTTTTTCCCATTTGTGCCATAGCAAAAATGAACCGAGAGTAGTTGTTGATAGATGCAAGTGCATGCCATTGACTTCTAAAGGGTAACATCCCTCTGCCTAATGTGATTTAAGCTCCTGAGGATTTACCCCAGTTGAAGACGAGGCGGGGAATAACACATTGGGGACATTGTTTATGGTCCCGACCTGTTCCCTAGTAAGATGAAATTCTTCGTGCACACTAGAGGCGTTTTGGTGATATAAAGCATGTAATGTTTGGGCTAAGGAATAAGGTGAAACAAGTTCCACTGGAGGAACAATATGGTCTAATGGTCTATGCATTGTTTGTTTCCACTAAGGGTCCTGGGTTGAACTCAGGACCTTGTGCATTGCTAGGAAAGTGCTCTACCACTGAACTACATCCCTATGCTTTTTTTTTTTTTTTTTGGGGGGGGGGGTTATTAGGGATTGAACTCAGGGGCACCCAACCACTGAGCCACATCCCCAGCCTTATTTTGTATTTTATTTAGAGACAGAGTGTCACAAGTTGCTTAGTGCCTCGCTATTGCTGAGGCTGGCTTTGAATTCACAATCCTCCTGTCTCAGCCTCCCAAGCTGCTGGGATTACAGGTGTGTGCCCTGGCACCCAGGGAAGCTCTTTTAAAGTTTTTTGAGGCAGGATCTGGCTATATTGTCCAGGCTGGCCTCTAATTTGCAATCCCTCTGCCTTACCCTCTGAAGAAGTTGAGATTGTTAGCTGTGTACCTCTGGGCCTGGCTATTTAATAAAATTTTTGAATGTTGTGTTTATAGCTAAGTTCTCTATAATATGTACAGTTATTGAGTAGATAAGTGTCTAAACTAAGAAATTAGATAATAAAGAAAATGAATTTATGGGCTTATGGTGGAAGAACAGGAGTAAGAATAAAGGCAAGTTGTGGCAGCTTCCCATCACCACGACAAAACACCTGACATAAAAGACTTAAAAGAGGAAAGGTTTATTTTGGCTCACAGTTTCTGAGGTTTCTGTCTCTGGCCGCTTGGCTTTGTTATTTGAGCCTGAAGTGAGGCAGTGCATCATGATAGAAGGTATGGTGGAGCAAAGTTGCTCACTTCATGGCAGCCAGGAAGTAGTGAAAGAGCAAGGGTCCAGGGACAAAATATACCCTTCAAAGTCCTGCCCAAGTGACCCCCTCTTTCATCTAGACCCCACCCCCTAAATGTTCCACCACCTCTCAGTACTAGCACCAGCTGGCTACCAAATCTTCAACACATGAGGCCTTGGGGAATGAACATTCCAGATACAAACTAACATCGTAGGATGAAAAAAAAAAATCTTCTTGAATTTACAAAATTATCTTTTCAACCCAAATATGAAAATATAACAATTTTTCAGCAGTGACATTTATTGCTACATGACAAATTACCCTTAAAACGTAGTGACTTAAAATCCAAATACCTATCTTCACACAGTCTAAAGATTAGGAATCTAAAAGTTACTTAGTGGGATGGGTCTGACTCAACCAAGAGGTTGTTTGCCTTCAAGATGTCATTGGCACGACGGGCATCTGCAGGCCTGTTTGGGCTGAAGGAACTGCTTCTAAGATTACTTAGCTTAGCTGGCAGCTGGTGGTCTCAGTTCCTTAGCACTGTAGACCTCTGCATGAATTGCTTACATATTTCTTCTCACAACATACCATTCGTTTCCCCCACAGTAAGTGATTCAAGTTCGTGAGCAAGTAACCATGGAAACCATGATGCCTTTTGTGACTTAGTCTCAACTGTGACAGTTCACCACCTCTACTGTGTTCCTCTGTTAACACAGAACAACCCTGATGTACCACCTCAGAGGACTCAGCAAGAGCATGAATCCAGGAACTCAGTGGGGCCACCCTGGAGCCAGGCGAGCACACCTGCTAATAATGAGTCAGAGTTAGAAGCTGGGCCCAGGAGCACAGTCAGAGGCTGTAGATTCTGGCAATGTTTGACACTTTTCATGTGAACTTGATATAGTAACAAAATTTCTGGGTACCCTGAAAATAGAAATAATAATAATTGTTTCTACCAGTTGGATGATGATTGAATGATGGCAGTCAACTGATAAATTGAGAGGATGTGAGTGAATACAGCCCACAGAAATGCAGGCAATGTGGATTTTTCTGAGAGGGCACTTTGAAGTCCCATGAACTAGGCAATTGTAAATCTTAATTCCATCAGTGTGGTCTTGGAAAGATCACGAGCTCTCTCTAAGCCTTGGCTTCCTCAGTCTCCAAAAAGGACATGGTAATAGTTGCTTTGGTGAGTTTTTATGGGGATTCAAGATTTTACATATTTTATATATTTTTTTCTTTTTTAAAATTTGTTCTAACTAGTTATACATGACAGTAGCATACATTTTGATATGTTGAACACAAATGGAGCACAACTTCTCCTTCCTCTGGCTGTACATGGTGCAGAGTCACTCCAGTAGTGTAATCATACATGTATGTAGGGTAATAATGTCTGTCTCATTCTGCTGCCCTTCCCATTCCCACAGCCCACCCCCCAAAACAAACCAAATTCCTTCATTCTTCCCTGTCCTCCACCCACAAGGGATTGTATTTTTATTATGTATATCAAGCAATTGATGAGTAGTAACTCTTAAAGCTTACTTCATATAGAGTGACCGTGTGGGTTGTCAGATGTCTCTGAGGTTTGAGAAAGAATCTTGAAATTAATCAAAAAGGTAACTCTCTCTCACTAATATAACCATATTTCAGAAAATTAAGAAAACGGGGGAAAAAAGAAAAAATTATCCCAGAACTCTAACATAGGGCTGGGGGTGTAGCTCAGTTGGTAGAGTGCTTGCCTCACATGCATAAGGCCTTGGGTTCAATCCCCAGCACCACCAAAAAAAGAACTCAAACAATTTCATCACCATCTTTCTTTCTAGCCTTCTTTTCTTCATTGAAGTGAGAGTTATTACATAACAGTTGCTTTTTGCTTCTTTTTATATCTTAATATAACTTCTTATAGAATTTGACACTTGTTCCAGTATGTCATGCTTAGGGCAGTGGCCCCAGGGTAGTAGAGAGAGAGAAAGTATGGAGGGAAGAAGTGCCCTGGATCAGCAGGGCTGTGTCAGGATCCGCTCAAGTTCTGAGACACAGATCTCCTGTAGGATTAAAGACCACTGAGGGAAAGAGTGGGAGGTGCTTTAAGAAATCTGGAGGTTGTGGAGAGATGAAGGTTGTTTAACCACTGTCAATTCCTTATCTATAAATTAAACCTGTTACATGCACCTGTCTTTATAAGGCTGCTGTGAAGATGAATCCAGTTAGTACAGTGCCCAGCACATAGTAAAGACGTTGGTACTAAAATGATAAGATTGAATGAGTCAGGCACTAGGAGTTCCCAAAAATTAACAGTGATGGAATTCTTTTTTTTTATTATTTTTTCTTTTTAGATACACATGACAGTATATTTTGACATATTTATACAAACATGGGCAACAGGAATTCTTAATAGACTTCTTCAACATTCATACCCTAAAATTTCACAACTGATTTCTAGGATATAGGAAATTCCACCTGGATGTTAGGTCAATAGGGGTTGATCACTAACCCTAAACATTTATAGCAAAGCCCAAGGCCTAAGAACTAGGTGGGTAAAGAAAGGATGGCATGCTAAATAGGGCAGGAGCATGCCTCCAAGAGAGCACAAGGTGGCAGCAGCTACTGTGGTCATTGCCACTCTATAAAGAGAAAACCGATTCAAGCTGCTATTTGACAGCTGCAGCGCATTTTTAAAATATTCACCAGAATTAATGTGCAATGTGCTATGCCACGTAAATAAGCTGATGCTACTCAGGCATTTTTGGAAATTTGCACGCACAAAAATCTGTTAAAATCAGTTAAGCCACAGGATTCCAAGCACTAGGAGGAGGGTTATGTTTTCTGTCTTTTTTCCAGCTACTGAGGTTCTTTGGATTATTTGACCTAGACTTGTACAGTATTTAATTTACATATTAAAATAAGGTTAACATATAAAATAAATACAAAGTGCACATTAGCAGGGGAAAATTTTGGGGAAGTCTTATGCTGGGAAAAAAAGAAATCCATTTAACTTTATTCAGTTCTGTGTTTCCCATACTTTAGACCCAGAAGACTTGTTTTCCATATAAAATGCATTATCATACTTTGGAGAAGGCTTTGCAGCTTTGAAAGGAAACCCCCCCCAAAAAAATCAGTCATCCAAAACAAAGTGATGCCCTTGTGCCATGCCTAGGCACCTAAAGTGATGCTGATGGCCCCTTGCCACCTGCCAAGCTTGCATTAGCATCTGGGAATGGCAGTTACCCTTGAGGGCCACCCTGCCCTTCTCCTCATTACTGAACCCACAGGCAAGAGGTGAATGAAAGAAGCAGCTCTGGCCAGGATACCTCCATAGAGCTCTAAAAATGTTCACTTCTCTCTGGCTCCCTGAGGGGAAAACATTTTTTTGGGATGAACTCTCTAACAATTGCCTTATGTCAGCAGCTTTCTTGGTGTGTGTGTGTGAGAGAGAGAGGAAGCGTCTCTAATACAGCTTAAATACTGTCCATTTCCTGTTGTCAGAATGTAACACACTACACCATGCTCTTTACTGTAAAAGGTGTTCTCCTAAATTTAAAGACATCAGTCTGTGTCTTGTTTGTTTTCTCTTTTATCTTCTTTACAAGTTTGCAAACATGGAGGGCAAGGTGTGTGGTAAGCCCTGGATTCCTTATCTGTATAATGAGCAGAATGATATTTATCTTGCAGATTTTTGTAAACCAGAATTTTAGAAATATTAAATAGAAAATTAAATGTGTATAAATTATCTAAAACAAAATCAGCAACATAGCAGGACCCAATACATGACAACAACTGGCATTTCCACACTTGCTGTTAACTCTAAACTCTGGGAGGATATAACATATAGATGAAGTTTTTTTGTTGCTGTTCTTTGGTTTTGGTACAAGGGATTAACCCACAGGCATTTAACCACCAAGTCATATCCCCGGCACATTTTTATTTTGAGACAGGGTCTCACTAAATTGCTTAGGACCTCCCTAAATCGCTGATGCTGGCCTTGAACTTGCGATCCTCCTGCCTCAGCCTCCTAAGCTGCTGGGATTACAGGCATGCACCAGGGCTGAAGTATGTTTGATTGCTAGAGTAAATCACAGAACTGTAGCATTTGGGAATGACTGAAAATTTTAAAGAGTTGGGAGAATTCTTAGAAATTATCTTTTGCAGATGAGCAGAGAGAAATTGAGGTTGATTAAAAACTAAGTAACTTTTCCATATTTTGCACAGGAGCATGAATTATCATCAGAAAACATTCAGATCCCACACTAAGAACAAAAAATCTCACTGAAAAGTTAAAATCCAAACATGTCTCATATCTAAAGTGCATGAACCCATAAATCTTCATTTTGCATTGTCCCAGGGATTCTGTAACTTACACAAATTTGCATGTTTAATAACAAATTTGAACTTTCAGGATACTAAGTGATCTACTGCAAATGTTCCCAGTATTTTGTTTAAATCTCTGCTTGTACTTCACAGCTGACAGGTTTTCTTTGTCAAGCCTTGTGTGAATCCAACCCCAAAACGTCAGCTCATCCCATCACTAGAGGGCACTAAACCCACTTGTGTAGGATTCAAGGAACCGATCAGTGTGGGACAGCTGAAGGGTTTGCAAAAAAAGTTTCATGTCCTGGTTCCACTTTAAATGTTCATAGTCAGACATGACAGCAGATGAATTAAATATGCCATTCTTCTGTATATTTAAAGTTAATTGAATTTTTAAAAAATAGATCAGAGCTAAAGAAGTGGCTGCCAGGCCCAGCATCTCTGGGCCATCTCAGTGACCTAGGGAGGATCCCATTGAAATCCAATCTCCAAGAACCGGCCACCCCACAAACAAAACAGGAAGCAAGCACATTCTAGACCTTCTTTCCTGATAAAGTCGACCATTTGTAATATATTTGTAGAGATAATGGGAGCTAAATAGTAAGAGCTGATGGAAAAGGAGCATTTCTAGAACTTATGCTGAACCAAGGCAAATGCAAGAAGACAAAGAACGAATGGAAAGTAAAATCAGAAGAAACAAAGAAAAAAAGAATAGCAAAGTCTGGAGAATTGGAAAGTGAACCTTTGAGTAGCAGCCAGAGTTATAAAGCTTCAGAGCTGGAAGGAGCCTTTTAATGGAAGCAGAAAAGGACCCAAAGACTAAATAATTTATCAAAAATCATGCAGGTAATTAGTGGTAGACAACTGAAGGACCCTCAATTTGCTAACTGGTGCATTTTCCATTCAAAATCCTTACCAGAATCCAAGTCAATGCACATAGAAACGTCCTCCCCTCTGCCCACACATGCACATGCGCACGCGCGTCCACCATTATCACAGTACAGGAAATTGAAGGAAGCCATCTGAAACTTCAACGGCGGGCACAGCCGCCACAGATAACATATCAAACGAAAGGCTGGAAATGAGCACGGCTCTCATTCACACAGGAAGCCGTTTGACCCTATTTAGTAATCAGTTCCATACTCCCAGAAGAATGCCAGAACAAAAACAGAAGGGGGGAGAAAAGAAAGAAACCAACAACCCTTTTTCTTATAAGAGGAATGATTCCAAGAAGTTTAAAGAGAGGCCTAGCTGGTTTATAGAGTTTTGCAGGAAATTTGGTAATTCTTTTTCTGACGCCATTGTTTTTCCCAGCCCAGGGAAGCAGCATAGCAAGGTAGATACTGGGACAACTCCAATAAACCAAGTCATATTTAACCTCAGTGGTGCTGATATTGTAGGTGGAAGTATTTTGGATGTAGGCATTTGTGATAATCATCCATTTTGGTCTGAGGAGAAGTGCTGAACAGAACTGTGGACAAGGTACCTCATTCTTCTATCAGAAGGGGATGGGTTAATGTGGCCTCACCGAATGGTTTCTCCTCAAGGAGAAAGTGGGAGTCAATGGCCTGTGGCCCAAAGGTGTAACAGTAAATATCAACCTTTTCTCCTCAGTTTGATATTTTATTTTGCCTCATGATTGTGGGTCTATCCTCAAGAGAGGAGGAAAGTGAAAAGAAAAGGCCTCGTTTGCTTTGTATTCATTTTGGAATCCTCTTAGGCCTAATGTAGACAAGAAGTCTTCAAACATGGTGACCTTAGACACTATTCTCTTAAAAATCGAAGATTCCAAATAGCTTTTTTATGTGGGTTAATGACACAGTCATCCCCCATTATTCACATGGAACATGTTTCAAGACCACCAGTGGGTGCCTGAAACCAGAGTGAGTGCCAACCCTGTATATACTGTCTCTGTTTTTTCCTGTACATACATGCCTATGGTAGGTTTAATGTTACCATATAAACATAAAACAAAGACTAAAAATTAATTTCCCATTTCAAATGTTTCAGAAGGAAAAATTACAATATCATGATAAATTATCATAATTAAAAATATAAAAAATTAATATGCAAAAACACGTTTTGTTCTCATTAGCCAAACTCCTAAACCGTAAATTTATAAGAATGCTTTTAAGAAAATTCCTTGTAATTATGATTCTACATAGGCTAAAAATTTTAACAAATAGTCTGTCAAGCTGATTACCATGGAATGCTAACTTGGGCAAATTATTTAGTCTTCAGGTCCCATTTAGCCTTCGGTTATTCCAATATTTGAAAATGACAAAGATTTGAGTTTTTCCCAAGCTGTGAATCCTAGGTACAAAGTTTTTGTTTTTCTTTGCAATATGTTATAAACCACTTCTCCAAGAATTCTATTACAGTGTTCCATTTAATATTGTTGGACCATGGTTAACCATGGCAATAGAAAACCCTAGAAGGCAAAACCACGGAAAAGAGGGGACTACTGAATTGAACCTATCATAAATCAATCTTCAACTATCTGTTTAAAAGAAACAGCAATGCATTACATGTTAACATAAGTAGCATAGTTTATGAAAAATAACCTTTTTTCCAAAACAACTTCAATGAGAAGAGCAATGTTATTTATAGTTTTCAGATCTCTTTAATGTCTAGCTTAATAGAAAACAGCTGGATTCTCATATCTACACTGCTCTACATTCAGACTTTTGTAGTATCTTGTTTTAGTTGAAGCTTATGAAGAAAAAAATCAATTTCTGTGTTTGGAAAGAATATTTTAATAGCTTTTAAAGATAATTGTGCATATTGTTTGATAATGTACACAAACTCAATGAGTACCAGTTTCCTAAAAGTTAATTCACCCAGCAGCTCAGGAGGCTGAGACTTGAGTGGAGGATCACAAGTTCAAAATCAGCAAAAAGTGAGGCACTAAGCAACTCAGTGAGACCCTGTCTCTAAAAAAAAATGCAAAATAGGGCTGGGGATGTGACTCAGTGGTCGAGTGCCCCTGAGTTCAGTCCACAGTACCAAAAAAAAAAAAAGTTAATTCAATTTGGAATCTGTAAAGTTATCATTGGGAGTTTTTAGGCTCTGTTATCAGAAATGCATTTCAAAGATTTTATCCACACATGATTTTGTAATTTTTGAAATTATCCGTTCATAATGTTAAACAGTGTTTTAGTCAGCTTTTTGACTGCTGTGACCAAAAGATCTGAAAGGAACAATTTTAGAGGAGGAAAGGTTTATTTTGGGGCTCACCATTCCAAAGATCTCAGTGCATAAGTAGCCAGCTCCATTCCTCCGGGCTCCATGTGAGGCAGAACATCATGGTGGAAGTGTGTTGTAGAGGAAAGATCCTCAAAATATGACAATCAGGAAGCAGAGAGAGAATTCACTTATGGACAAAATATATATATACCCCCAAGGCATGCCACCAGTGACCCACCTCTTCCGGTCACATCCTACCTGCCTACAGTTACCACCCAGTTAATCCCTATCAGTGGATTGACACATTGATCAGGTTAAGAATCTCATAACTCAATCATTCCACCTCTAAACTTTATTGCATTGTCTCACACATGAGCCTTTGGGGAATATCTAATATCTAAACCATAACAAACAGATATTCCAAATTTTGGGATATTGTACAACATTTAAAAATCACATTGACTCATATCACCACCAATCTTTTCGGAATTATCTCTGTAAGGAAGCTGTCAAGAGGATGTCAGTTTTCTGCATGCTAAAAATTTAGATAAGTATCCCCCAAAGACCCAAGTGTTAAAGGTTGTCTCCAGCCTGAGGTGCAACTGGTAGGGAGTGAAACATGTAAGAGGTGGGATTTAGTTGGAAATCTTCCAGTCATAGGCGGTATGTCCTGGAAGGGGATATGGGGACCCTGGCTACTCCTCTTCTCCTTTGCTTCCTGGCTGCCATGAAGTGAGCAGCTTGCTCCACCATGTGCTCTCGCCATGATATCATACCTCGCTACAGGCCCAAAAGCAAGGGGGCCAACTAACATGGACCAAAACCTCCCAAACTGAACTAAAATAAACCTTCACTCTCAGATATTTGTTACAGTAAGAGAAAGCTTACTAATGCACTGTGTTTCTATTTCTCTTGACTTCAAATTTATCTTTGGTAATAGATAGGTTTGACTTGAGGTAAAAAGTTCAGTTTATTCACTTTTGATGCAGTACTGTGAAAAAATCTGTTTTAATAACTATAGATTTTTTTCTCATTCCCTACATAAAAACAGTGTTTTTGTGTTGGTTTTTTTTTTTTAGTGAAAAATAAATGGTTAGTTTAGCTAAAAATGCATTGCCAAGGGTTTTTCCTCAAGAAAAACATTACACTTCACTATTCAGCAGAAATGCTTTCTGTGTGTTTCTGGTCACATAAATTGTTAAGCGGACATGTACTTGAAAACTAAGATTTAATAAATAATTTTTTATTGATTTATCAAGGATATTCTTAAATGAAAACAGCATTTGCTTTGCAATAAGTATATGGTGACAGTTTGGTGCCACTGTCTGGATACGTGATAAACCGAGGGCAGTTTTACCTTCTTTTACTTTTATGCCACTAGTAAAAATATAAATACAGCAGAAAAGGCAATTAACACCTTACGATTATGATGAAAATAGTTTCTCCTTACAGCTTCCTTGAACAGGTTTTAGGGACACCACCCTCAGTGGTCCATATAACACACTTCAGAACCATTTCTCCAAGCCTCTTTGCACACCTCATGCTCCTCTTTCCTTAACCCCCAGCTACCCACAATGCTCCTAGGTCCTCTACATTTCCCTACTGCATCATTCAATAAAATGCCCAATTTCCCCAAGTTCTCTGATTCAACATCCATTTTACTCTCTATCCTCAACAATAAAAGGAAATTGTCGTGTACCCACTACATGTCAAACACTGTTCCGAGCACTGAAAATACAGAAATCCACAAGGCAAGCAAGGTCATGGCTCCCATGGACCTTAGATACTAGAGTGAGAGAAACAGACAATAAACTTGCAAATAAATCAATGTACCAAATATTTTCAAACAACTTTAAGTGCTATGATAACCATAAAGAGATGTGACTGAGACTAATGAAGTGATCCAAGTGAGATGGCCCTCCAATGAGAGGTGTTATGTTTGTTCACCCGGTGCAAATAAATAGTACTTCAGGGACAGAGGTGGGAGAGAAGATTCCAGTGAGAATTCAACGGTAGAACTGCAATACCCCTGGAAAGGTGGGAGGAGGAAGAGGGATATGAGTGTTTGAGGAGGATGAGGCCCCACTAGTCCCTCAAAGGGGATGGCAAGGCACTGGAAGGGAATATCTTCATGGCCTCTGGAGTGGGACA